TTTTGCATATTATGCATGTTCATATTTTTATAAGCAATTACATGCAATAAATGGGTTTTCATCAATCATACTTAAATAAATAATATTACAAATTTTTATTTTGCATATTTTTGCATATTTTGGGTTCAAGTGCATATTTTATAAAAAAAAACGCATGTTTTTGCATAATACGTATACACTAAGTATAAATTTTATTTTATTTTATAATTGTATGAACAATTATTATACATAAATTTTTCCACAATACAAAAGTTGAAAATATTTTGTTTCCGTATTAGTTGGTAGGTAGGTAGGTAGGTATTCACTATTTATTGCATACTGGCTTTCCTATCGTATATTTTTATCTTATCGATTTTGTCTAACATTATCGACTTATCGTCAATACTACAGAACACGAACTGATAAACTGACGACTGTAGTTCGAAGCGTACATTCGGCAATAGTCAACGACCAATATATTATAAAAATGTGTACATTTTGTAAAACATTGTTTGAGTTTGTTATAAACTTATAATAAAAAGCCCATGAACATTTAATAATTAAAAAAATATATAATAACTGTTACCTTAATAATTATTTTAACCACCCAACTATTGATGCTATATTTAATATTTAGACAATATTAATATTACCTTAAAAAATTATAACTATACTCACTATTATGTATTTATATAAGCATATATCACATAACCATTAACGACTTTACGAATCATTACTGCAGTAATATTTGAAAGTAACATATTTAATTTTAATTTTTTAATGTATGTTAATTTGTAATAAATATTAAAGTATCATCGCAAATAATGGAAAATAAGACTTATTTTTATAAAGTTCCATAGTTATTAATATCAAGTATTCTATTTTTAACTTATCATTTAAATTGTAATCGTTAAACCATGTAATAAGGATTACTAGTAAATGTATTTACTAACTGTGGTTAGTTACTTCATAGTTAAATTATAATATCATATATATATATATATAGATAGATAAAGTTTTTTAATATATACATTGTTATATAATAATATTATTTGTTTCAGTTATAATACTTTAAAATAAAGTATACATTTTATAGATACAACACACCTATAAAATCGATAAAATATATATTATTATATTAATTAATAATTAGATATATTATCCTTCAATTTAGTATATTATACATTATTAATTATCATCGTGTTTCAAAAATCGTTTGTAAAAAAGTAAATTAGTACATAGAATATAATATATATAAATAAATATATACATTTATATATAGTATTTACTCATAAATGATATAATGCATTTTGTTTTACGTACATATTTCATGTTATTAAATTAAATATTTTTCTATTTGTGATTCAATTTGATTTCCTTAATAAAAGACCTACCTACTCTAATAATATAATTCAACACAATATTCCATTCATTCTAAAAATCATTCAGCCATAAGCGAAAAATGAAAAATATAAACTATTTTTAGTTTCTAAAATGTAATGCTTCCAATGTACTCTTATTAACTTAATTTTTATTTTGTATTTAGTTAACTTTATGTTTATTATTTCCATTAACATTAATTAACAATTTAAAAATCTTTTTAAGTTATTTATCTCAATTAAAGATCTAAAAATAGTTCTAATCTTGGAGAATAAAAATAAGCGAAACAAAATCTAGTCATACTGTTACTGGTACTCTACCATAACTTTACTATTTTTTTTTTAAAGTTACTTTTCTTTAAAATCTTGAATTTAAACTGTAATATTCGATGATTTTTTATCAAATTAAAATAATTACTTATACAGTTATATATCAATTAAAAATAATTATGCGAAATACTTTGTGAGCTGCCCAACTGCATTATTACTTCGATATAATTATTATTTATACAGCCAAAGCTTAAAGGTGTTTAAAATTATTTTGCTTCTATATAATATAAAGCTATGTATATTTAACTTTTCTTTAGTTTATATAAAGTTAAAAAGCCTCGAGTTTCAGTACTGGAATCAGATTAGTGAATTGTTTATTTATACTCAGTTATTTAGTATTTTTAATCCCGTTGCGAAGAGTTTAAAGCTTAAGTATGGTTTTACACTTTTAGAGTTTTTGGAATATTATATAAGTCTTTAGCATTACTAATTAAGATAATATTTAATATGCAAAGGGTCGTTGTCTGATAAATATCCTCTATAGTATAAAAATAAAGTTATCAGTATAATATTATATTAAAATTGAAATACTTGATTAAAAAAAATAAAATCTTCCGTCAAAACGAATAAAATAATGAATACCCTTAACTTATAAGTTTAAATATTTCCAAAAAAAAAATTATAATATTAATTATTATTTATCTGTATTATCTGTATATGGACAAAGAAACTGTATAATAATTTATATGATAAAAATATAACACTAATAACTTATAAGTTATTTATATTTCCTGACACAACAATTTCATTATCAAATTAAAACCAAGAAAAACATTTCTGATATGAAATAAAACCACAGTTATTCTATATAATAACAATAACAATAGATTATTAAAATCATAAAATATAATAAAAGTACAATGTTTTAATAATATAATAAATTAAAAACAATATTACATATACCTAGTCAATTAACATTTATAACGGTTTATAATATATGAAATTGAATTCTTAACTAAAAAATAAAAAGTGTATCTTTACTTTTAAGTAAAGGGATTTTTAAGGGAAAGATATGAGTCAAATGATTTAAGTGAGGTGGTGACTAAATTTTTTTGTAAATATATTTTAATTTAATATTCTTATAAGCTTTTCAAAAATCCAAATTTTCAATTTATTTTTTAGAATGTAAATATATCACCTTATCAAAAAAATTGATACTAGAACTTAATTTTAAGTTTCAATAAGAAACAAAAAACTCAATTTTGTGTTAAGTTTGCTGTACAATAAATATTTGTTGTTATTTTCAATGTTTTTAAATCATAACTTTATTATCTGATGATATTTATTAGCCGGCGCAATGTATAGGCAACTTTAGTGTATCAGTGTATACGTGGTTTTTAACAGTTTCCCCCATCGTTATCGAAAACAAATTAAAAACGGAAATTTTCGTTATGATGGCAATTATCTACCAACTACCCATATATATATACGCTCACAATTACTTTTTAATAATGTACGACGATTAATTCATGGATTTCAATTTTTATGACAACTGTGTGACTATTCTTATTCAGTTAAATTTCCATAATGATTTAATCATTTAGGTATTTATGTATATCAATGTGTTATATTATTAGAATTGCTATTTCGAATTCAAATGAATCACAATAAAAATAAATAACTTTAAAAAAAGGTAACCCAAAATAACTATTTTATTCCTACTCCAAGGAAATAAAAGTAAGTATTCATTTTAATTATATGAATGGATTATTTAATATAATTGCACGTGTTTGAAGATGATATAATGAAAGGTATGAAAGCTTTGTGATTTTTTTTTTTTATTAGAACTTCTACTATATAAAAACGTAGTGAATTCGTTAACGGAGTTGGTTGATAAAAAAAAAAATCAATAAATACCTTCTTTTCTTATAGTCAATGAATGGTAAATATTAAATAAATATCATTATTTATTATAAGTAATTACTATTTGTATAAAAATAAATATCTTTCAAACGAGACACTCTCTGGCGACTCGAGGGGACGAGATACACAAATTCGGTAGTGCGACACACGCTCCGTGTCTGTGTCTCATATATACGCGTATAGTTAGAACTTATAATAATGTTATCTTAATGGTGCTATTCTTTTCAAACACAAATAACCAACATCAAAGTGTCTCGTCTGAAAGCGCTTTTAGGTTTTAGATTCTGTGCGAAGCAAGTTTAATCACTGTTGTACATATCTATATATTTTTTAACAAATTATTCAAAAACGTTCTAAAAGTTTCATGTAAAAAGTACCACTTTTCTAGTAGCAGTTTTAATACTTATTTATTTATTTTTTATAATACAATATCTTTTCAAATTGTCTTATCAGATCATAAATAAGATTAAAATAAGCGCATAATAATGCACCTGTACTATTTATTATTGTGAACATTGCATAATATATTATTATCAAGAGTAAATAATCATACATTGAATACCCAACATACCGTTATCTATGGATTATATAAAAATAATCAAAACGCATTCAATGGTTCGAGTTTCTAAAAAGTTATAACAACAATTAAAATATAGAATTCTCGATGTATCAATCAATTTCGACACGAACCGTTTGACATAATGGTTCTATAAATAATGACTACATAGCACGAATGGGTACAAATATAGTATATAGTATATACACAATACATGGCACGTAAACGTCCACGTGTTAACCGAAAAATCGCAATAGTCTATCCGTGCGTGTTAAAAATACGTATCTGAAATGTTAGGAAACACTCAAACACGTTCTATACCGCAATATTTGTATATCTAATATCTTAAAAGTATTAATAAAATATAAAAATGTTTACACACTATAGACGAGTGATTTTCACGTACCTACGTCAGTTTCACCACTGACTCAATGGTGAAACTAATTAACAAACTATTGGTTCTAAATCATGTATGCGTATTGACACGGACAGGGAGAGAAATATATAGGAGGCCCTAGATTAAACTATCGATTATTTTGATGAAATGCGGATTTCGTGACATAAATTTTTATAGATCACATTTATTTTGCTTATTGATTAAGCAATTTTATGTTTCTAGTAAGTCTTTCAGCACGCCATACTAGGAAAATTATTTGTTACTCGAGTTTAAGTGACGTATTTAGGTGTATTGTGTCACTATAGGCTGGCGTACGGATAAACTATCGGTTGGATAAATATAAGACTATATACCTAACCGTATAATTACCATCGTGTTATTAAACCAAATCACGAGGTGATGAAATATAATACCGTGTACATGTGACGTTATCAATACGATATCGATACATTAACGAATATTTTCGGATACCATCATAACGGTCGGGGAGACTTACTCGTTGTGCGGTATGTCCTCTGCCTGGGCCTGGATGCCGGGCAACGGCGTCACGACCACGGCGATCAACAACACGAATACGTGCGCGGCGGCGACGACGGGACAACAACAACACGCGCCGCCGGCGAAAAACATGGCGATCCAACCGCGGCACACACGCTATGCTCGAACGCACGACGACGGCGACGACTACCGTGCGGGAAACGACCGAGCGGATAAACACGAAACGGATGCGATTCCGATGAGTACGGAAAAACAAATAAAATCGAATCGGCTAACCGCGGTAACGGTTAATCGCGGGTGAAGCGGCGACGGTCGCAGTGACACTCGTCGGCGCGCAACCAGGCGGCGGTGACGGCGGCAGCGTCGTCGACCATTGCAGCGACGGCAGCGGCGGCGGCGGATGTGTGTGTGCGGCGCCCGTGTGTCTACGCTATGCACGTCCGCGATGTGTACGCTCGAGTGTACGAGTAGCAAAAGTATTATTATACGCGAAATCCGCGGCGTGCCGCGGAGGCGTCGCACTCGGGAGAGTGGAGGCGGCCCGTCGCGGGGGGGGGTCGGTTGAAAGCGGCGGTGGCGTAGGAGGCGTGGGCGACGCGTGCGCCCTCCCTCGTCACTGCCGCCGGCTGAAAATTTCCTTTTATTATATTGATTCTGCAGACAGATGGGCGCACCTCCTCCCCGCGCGCCAAACACACGCTACACACACACACACACACACACATGTATAAATATGTGTGTAAATTGTAAGTATGCGTGTGTGTGTGTGTGTGTGTTTGTGTGTACACCGATTACCGTCACCCAAACCCTTACCGGAGTTAACATGTCCGCCCACTCGCCACCCCGGGACGGGCTGTACGCGACTGAAACGGCGGCAACGCGACAAATTGAACTCTGCGTGTACGACAAAATGCCTGTACATACGTATACACTATACACGGCCCGCGAGCGAGCGGTTGACAGCCGTTGGAGTCGTAGACACGACCATCGACTTCAGACAGTCAGAGTATATACATATAATGTATATTATATACATTGGACAAAATTTTAACGATACGGAAACTATATAAACGAAGAATGCGAAAGAATAAAAATAGAAACATGATTAAAACTCGACAATGCGTATTTTTAACCTTGCAAAAGCGTTCTTTTTCCTTTTTCCTTTTTAATCACACCACCATGCCTTGTGCGAATCTTCATTAATGTATACTCGCCGGCGCAAACCGCCACCACCATCATCCAAAGAATATTTTATTATTATAACAGGATCGCGTTGGACAGCTAGCCAAAAGGGAAACGAACATCAGAACGAGGGACGAACGCGCGTGTGATGATCACTTGAATGGACCAGCAGAACGCGTATCAGCCAGCGCTGCCCTCCCGTCCGACATAAAAGTACGATTCGTCTGTCGGCCGTTTTCCTCGTAGTATTCTGAATAATGAATTTTTCAACACACGCACACACACATATATATATGCTATATGGGCTCGTCGAGATAAAATGGTGGATACGAGAACAGTAAGAGAGAATAAGACAAATGAATTAGGGAAACGATGACAGGCAGTATTACATAGTATATACATAATGCCCTTACGCCGAAACTCATGTCCTCAGGTCAAAACAAAATATTTTCGATGATTAAATTTTGAAAATAACTCATACTCAATGAATACCGTTTATATATATATATATATGTATATATATACGTATAATCGTAATAATATAATGTACAATATATTTTTATGTAACTTACATATTTTCTTCTTGAATAACTTTTATGCCTAATAATAATCAGATAAATCGTGAACGTCTCGTGGTAATTGCACAAGACATTTAAATTTTACTAAACATATCTAGTAATAATAAGTAATGAATAAAAATTTAAAATCATGATAGTAAAATTATGTTTTGTAATCGCTTTAAAAATCTCACAAGAAACCTTATTAATAAGTATTCATGCTTTTTACTCACAAACAAACCTAATTCTTTACATAATAAATCGAAATAAATAGAAAGAGTCAACAATTTTAAATATCTACAAATAGCACAAAAACAATCGAAATATATTGAATGTTACACCATGTCTAGTAAATACCATTAAATATTTGGTCAAAATTAAAATCGCTGCAGTTATTATTAATTTTAGTCATGTTATAATAAATAAAATTTATTTTGTCAAAACTAGTTTAGGTTTTTATATATAACTTTGTTTTTGATTATTTTCTAAAATTCTGATATGTTAATTTGATATCTAAATATTACTTCAAAAATTTCAGTTAACTCTAAAATATAAATATATGTATGAATGAATAATGTCCGGTACGGCACACCGCATACGTATATTAATAAAGTAAGTTAATTTATAAAATGATTTTTCTTTGAGTAATTTTTTAAAAATAATTACCTTAAAAGAGCTTAAATATTAAATTCATAATAAATAAGTATAATACATAAAAATAAAAATAAAATAAAAAAAAAAGCAATGATCAATATAAAATTTACTATTAATTACTTGTCGTTCAAACCTGAGTAAGTAACGCATTACTATTAGCTCCGGATGGTGACCACCCGGTTTCAGTGGTTAAAACTCACACACATACACATGTTTGATATCAACCATAACAACCTATAACAACCATAAAACAATCTACTGTACTGACTACTCCCATTGGCGTAATTGTGGAATGTTAGCTAGGGGGACTTCGATAATATTCTAAAGGACAAAGGTATTATTTTGTCCCCTCCAGATAATTCAACAGTACAATTATTTGAATCATCATAAATTAAGAAAGAATATTATATATTATTAAACATAATATAAGATTAAAAATTTAAAATATTTTCCTAAATTATTTCTTTGAAGTAAACACTTATTTTAAGTTCTCTATACATATTATTACAAAACAACAATCACATTAGTTGGGTTAGGAACAAAATAATCCAATAATAATAATATAAACACGATTTAATATTATCTTGAATCGCGATTATGATTAAAAGAACAAAGGTTATTTTTAAATCAATAACAAATTATAATAACAACTGATAATATAATATTAATTTATCCGCTTATGCTTACGTACTTTATTACCACATTACATTTTGTTGTGTTTCAGTGCTTTTTACTTAAAGTCTTAAAGTCTGTTTTTATTTACTGATATACGTCTATAATCTATACTGTTCTATAATTTTCAGTACGATTTTACTTTGGTTCTACATGTTAATAACTATTAATAACAAACTTTAAAAATATCCAATAAACGGCAGTTGTCTTGCTTAATTTTATGCCATAAAAATCTTAAGACTATAAACGCCCAAAGCAGTGAGTATTATATGTTCAATAAATTTTCAAACATAATTCTTTTGTAACACATAGTGTACTTATACATACATAATATACTAAATTCTAGCAATTAGTACTAATCAAACTGGTATAGTATGTAATAACGCTGAAATAATTTAATTTTAATAAATAAAATAAAGACTCCAGTTCTAATATAATCATAGATTACTTATTTAATTTTAATTACTATTACTAAATCAATTTAATTACAATCTAAGGAAATACAGAAAACTAGAAAATATTGCCATATGTATGAATAATACTATAAATGAAGATAGTTCAATTGATAAATAATAAATGTTATATATCTATAAAATATTAAAATGAAGATTCTTATTATGTATTAAAATAATTTTAAAAATATTATTATTTATGAATTCATGATTATTAAATTGTTTGAATTTCATTTTAAGGAAATACAGAAAACTAAAAATTACGTCACGTGTATCGTAATAGTACTCAAATGAAAATTGTTCATTTAGTGAGTAATAAATATTGTTTATTTTATAAATATTTGAATAAAAGATTCTATTTTGTATTATTATGATTTTTTAAAAATTATTATTTATTATGTTCATTAAATTGTTTGAATTGTGTTTTAAGAAAAATACAGAAAAACAAACTAATTCAAATTGAAAATGACTTGATCGTGACCTGACTAGAAATTCTAAAAATGCATATACTTTACTTTATTCTGGTTTACCATATCAGCCAATCAACTAATTATAATTTTCCTAAAGTTAAAGGTAGACAATTAGTAAAAATAGTACATGAAATCTAAGATTTGAATACAGTCCTTCAAATGATTCTGTATTTTGTTTTATTATTGTGTTTTACCACCAGTTGTGATAAACATTATAAATCCAATGATTTAGATTTAGGAAAATGAACAAATATTGAACATTCTACTCACCCCATTCCAAAGTTTGGCCACATAAATAATCTTTGACAAAATATGCTAGTCGCCAGGTTTCAAATCAACTATTAAATTAAGGTTACAACTTGTGGGTTTAGAGAAAATGAAGATTCTGAAAACATGGGAAATTTCTTAGAATTGAAAAAGTTGGCGGGCAAAAGACAATAGTACTTGATCGTTTTTATAAAAAGAGAAATCCTTCAGATATAACTGGTACACATACTAATTACTTATTAATTTTTAGTTCAATAGCTGCATTTGTAACAAGAAAATAATCAATAACATAATTACATAAAATTAGCTGACATTACATTTATTAATTGATGAAACTTAGATCTTTCTAGGCGCGAAATGGCATCGTTCATCACACATTGCGTTGATAGTAAAGCAATACGTAACTGAATCCAGCATACCGT